CCTCTCTCCCCCTAATTATCGTGGGGAGGAACGCTCGGTCATTCCTCTCTACTTGCTCTGCCTCTCCACTGAGCTCCGACTAGATTGCTTAGTTCTATCTTGCCTCTCTAGTCTCATCCTTCCCCTCTCTATAGGATCTGACCTCTCCATCATAGACCGAGGAAGGTCAGGTACAAGGTAGTTCAAGGGTTTTGAGTCTATTGTCTACATGCGCTAGAGTCTAGGGGTGTTGTTGCAGCGTGGAAGGTCTCCAGCGCTGTTGTCAAGTTGGGGGAGCCTTGGACGCTGCCTGGCTCTTCTGGCCCTGATGCTCTGACTGTCAGGGGCTGTTGGCTTGGACCGACCTCCACCTGGTAAGCCTTCTCGAGGCTTCCTTGGAGGTGAAGGCGCCAAGCTCGGAGCACTGGCGAGTGGGCCTAGGAGTCCCCGTGCCCCTAGAGCCAGCGCTGGGAGTTGTCTTCTTGTGTCATGCCGCCTGTGTGACTTTGTCGGAGGAGTGGACTACAGCGTCGCGCGCTCATCAGCCGGGGTGACGCTGAGGAGCCCCTGAGCCTAGGATGCTCGGTGGGCTGAGTGATGATGCTCGAGGCCTTGGATTCAATCTCAGGCACTCAGTTGGGCTGAGGGCAAGCTAGGGGATCAGGCTCGAGCTATCATCGGTCAAGAGCCCGAGGACTTAGCAAGCCCCCGAGTCCTAAGCAGAGGCCAAGGGCATGCTGGGGCTTAGCCTGATCCTTGGCTAGAGGTTATGCGTGAGCGTACCCAATGAGTAGAGCCCCTGAGCGATCCTAGCGGGATCGGTCGGGGGATCTCTCTGTTGGGTGCCTATCTCCAAAGAACTTGACATGTGTTTGACTCTCGTCACCCTGCGACAAAAACACAAAGACGAAGAACCACGTTGCCAATCAGCAAAATGCGAGGGGACGGTGTGTCCAAAGGCTCCCCCCACAAACTGCTACATACTGGAAGACTAGTTCATGGACTCATAGGTCACTAAGGCACCCGCAACAATAAGAGCTAGTTACTAGCTATAAGCCAACCTCTCCAATAGTGTTAGCTTTTAGCAATGGCCAATAGTATGATTAGACCAACATGACACTCTCATATGTTCTTAAAATGTGTGTACGAGCCCAACTCTTGATCAAGAGTTAGCTTTTCTCTCTCTTATATTAAAATATGTAAAAAATTGCTTGAAGGTGACTTGAGTCAGCCATTGCGGATGCCCAAAGGACGTGTTGCGTTTGATGACAAGGATTGATGGGACATGCCATCCATGGATTTTGAAATATGGTTGGATGGATAGAACGAGCCATTTTTGTGTTTGCTTAGATGAAAGAGAGTGGATGGGATGAGAATACTTGACTAATTGTATTTATATTATTTAAAAACAAAAACTAATTATACACTAACAAATATGCACTAACACTAACTTTATTGTGATAATCGCTAATTACAAATAAAATATATTAATTAGCACCACTATTGTCCTAATTGACATACAAAACATGCACTAATCAACATATAAGCACTTCCTAAAATTAATCTTGTCATTATAATTACTAAACAATAAAAAACATACTAATAATCATTAATTATTTGCTAATGTCAAATATTAGAAAACGTGGATAAGCTCCCCGACAAATTTTTTGACATAGATATCCAACATCTGTCAAAATATTCCTCTATCAAGGATATCTATATCCACACTTGCCCGCGAACCAAACATCACTTGTCCATGACCGTCATCTCCTATCTGGGGATATCCATCAAACCAAACACACCCTATGAGAAACCATAAAACTCGCCACGACATTTCTTTGCTTCAGTAATCAATGATCACCAGCAACAGCAGAGCACGACTCCCAATACAACCACGATATTAGGGCGTGGTGGTGGAGGCGTTTGGTGAACTCAACCGATCATCTAAATATATGAGGTTTTGGTGCCATTGTACATATTAAAGAGCACAAATTGAATAAGTTGTTCAAGGATGATGGCTCAGTTGTGGAGGACAGCAGCGGAATCAAAATGTTAATCACTAATTTCTATAAATCTCTTTTTGAATCTCATGCAGGTTCACGTTACAATGAGTTGCTGGACCATGTACAACCAAAGGTGACTCCTATATGAATAATTTTCTGTTGAAAGAGTATACAGTGGAGGAAATTAAACAAAACTTAGATGATATTGGTGATCTAAAAGCCCCCGGCGCTGATGGAATGCCAACTATATTTTATAAACATTTTTGGCATATTGTGGGACACGATGTGGTAAGTGAGGTTATGAGTTTTCTGAATGGAGGTGCTATGCGACAGGACTGGAATGACACAGTAGTTGCTCTTATTCCAAAGGTTGCAAACCCAGATAATGTTAAGGATCTCAGACCAATCAGCCTGTGTAATGTGATATACAAGATCGCCTCAAAGGTTCTATCAAATCGATTGAAAGTTATCTTGCCTGACATTATTGCTTTAAACCAAAGTGCATTTGTATCTAGAAGACTTATTACTGATAATGTTATGTTGGCTTATGAGATGACACACTATATACAGACCAAAAGAAGGGGTATTGATGGGTATGCTGCTTTCAAACTAGATATGAATAAAGCATATGACCGAGTAGAATGGAATTTCCTGAGGATGATGATGGGCAGCCTGGGCTTTAGTGAGAATTGGATTGATCTTATCATGAAGTGTGTGACTACAGTAAGCTACCGCATCAAAATTAATGGCGAGCTCAGTGAAGAAATTAGTCCACAACGGGGTCTTCGATAGGGAGATCCTCTGTCCCCCTATCTTTTCTTGATATGTGCTGAAGCTTTTTCATGTTTGCTGCTTGCTGCAGAAACTACAGGGGAACTATCTGGAATTAAAGGATGCCAAAATGCACCGAGTATCAATTACTTATTGTTTGCAGATGACTCTTTGCTACTCCTGAAAGCTAATTAATGGAGTGCAAACCATCTACAAAATATCCTTTCTTTGCATGAAGATTGTTCGGGGCAAACCATCAACAAAGACAAGTCCTCAGTCATGTTCAGTAAAACACAAAGAAAGCCAAAAAGTCACAGGTAGTGTCAGTCTTGAATATCTCAACAGAAGCCTATAATGAGAAATATTTGGGGCTGCCAATTTATATGGGAAAATCAAAGAAACAAACTTTTGCTTATCTAAAGGAAAGGGTGTGGAAAAGAATTCAAGGGTGGAAAGAAATGCTTTTATCAAAGGCCGGCAAAGATGTCCTTATCAAGGCAGTAGCACAAGCTATCCGGACTTGTGCAATGTCATGCTTTGATCTTAGAAAGGGTCTATGTGATGAAATTAGCAATATGATATGCCATTTTTGGTAATAAGGTGCACTAGCTTTCCTGGGAAGTCCTGAGGTGTAGGAAGGACAAAGGAGGTTTGGGCTATAGAGACCTCCATTTATTCAACCTTGCTATGCTAGCACGGCATGGTTGGCGTCTCCTCTTGAACCAAAGCTCTTTATGTGCTCAAGTCCTGCGTGCTAAATATTTCCCAAGTGGAGATCTACTATCTGCTATTGAAAAACCAGGAATTTCCTATTCATGGTGAAACATTGTCCGCGGGGTACAGGCACTCAAAGATGGTCTAATCTGGCGTGTTGGCGATGGCACACAAATTAATATATGGTTAGACCCCTGGATTCCAAATGGCGTCACAAGAAGACCAGCTACTCCAAGAGGACACATAATTGTGACTAAAGTGTCTGAGTTGATTGACCCAACTATGGGTGAATGGGATAGTGCTTTAGTGAAGGATATTTGCTGGGAGCAAGATGCAAAAAATATTTTGGCTATTCCTCTGAAGCAAGGTATGATGGATAATTTGGCATGGCACTTTGATTCAAAAGGGCACTTCTTAGTGAAATCAGCATATCATGTTCTAGCGGATAACAAAGATATGAAGAAAAATAAGCAAAAAGGTGAGTCAAGCAACATTGAGGTTACTGGAATATCTTTCAAGTGGAGTAATATCTGGAGGCTTATGTGTCAACCAAAGGTGAAACAATTTCTATGGAGGCTGGCTCATAACAGCCTCCCGTTGCGTACTAAGATCTCGCGCAGGGGCATGGACATTGACACACAATGCCCAGTCTGTTGGCGTCTTGATGAAGATGGAGGGCATTGCTTTCTAAAATGTGAAATGGTGAAAAAATGTTGGATAGCTTTGTCCATAAAACATATCCGCGTTGATCTTTTGGAGTCAACTTCAGCAAAGGATATGGTGCTGAAAATCCTATCTTTATAGCAAGAAGCAAAGATGAAAGTAATGTGACTCCTTTTTTCATGGTGGGAGGCACGCTATAAGGCAAATGCTAGCAAATAGTTGTGATCGACAGCGGAGGTTGTATAAACCCTTCTTGCTCTATGCAGTGGCGAGAGAGAGGTGTAAAACAGATGATAGAAAAGGTACGTTGGTGTCCGCCGAACTCTGAATATGTGAAAATTAGCTTTGATGGTTCTTTTATCCAGGACAGAAAGAGTGGAGCCTGGGGTTTTGTTGTGAGGGATCATGAAGGATCCGTGATTCTGGGAGGCGCATAAAATTTGGATAATGTTCATGATGCTCTATGTGCAGAAGCGCATGCATGCTTGATAGCTATCACTGCGGCAGCTGATCAAGGATGATGCAAATTCAGCTTGAATCGGATTCTATGGTTTTGGTAAAGGCCCTCAAATCTCCTGACTATGATCTTTCCGCTAGAGGTACTCTGTTTAGATAAGCTAAATTTCTTCTAGACACCCAGTTCATTTCTTTTGATGTAAATTATGTTACACGTTCTTGTAATGTCTGTGCACATGAGTTGGCTCGCTGTGGTCTGTTATGGGACCCGGATCAATCCTATGTTTGGATTAATCCCCTCCCAGAGTTTGTAATTTCTTTGGCGATTCGTCACCTTCACGATCCACCTGAGACGTAATAAAGTTGCGAGTCTTTGCTTTCAAAAAAAAAAATATTAAAGAGCACCCCTCTATATTAAAAGTCCATGAAAGGATCATGATTCAGCATTAGTCTTGGGGCCTCGTGCGGATCTGTCCCTAAGAATCTGATGAGAAGGAAATCTGCAGTATGCTTGATTCTTGTCTTGGTAGCATACTGCATGTTAAGAAAGTAGGAATACCAAAACTGCGTCAGGGGCTTCAAAGCCTCCATCTGTGGTTGATGAATGGGCGTTGCAACACGGACTACAAATGTAAGCATAACTAATCCTTCTGGTGTATTCTCATTCATCTGGCAAACTCTGCATAAGAAATCAGGACAATAATAAGATAAAATAGTGTCTGATTTTTTTAATAGACCTTGTCCAAGCTAAACAATAGAGCAGGCTCCGTAGGAGAAATAAGCAGAAATATGGCCAGAAAAGAATAAATCATGGCTCATAGTTGGTAATTTATTTCTATGCTCTTAATATTTCAATTCAATCAATTTGTTCAGCTGCATTTCATCATAAAGATAGTTTAACCCCACGTATAATCGTATAATTCAAGAGTGTATATGCAACGGATAGGTTCGTGAGACCAAAAAACATATTTGAAAAATAGGTGGTGCCACATGTTGTCACTTTACTAGTTATACATTAGAGAAAATTCCAATGTGCTTACTTCAGTCGAATACAAATAAGTAGTCACTCCGTTCCAAATTATTGGTCATTTTGGCTCTTCTAGAAACATAATTTTTACTATATATGTCTAGACATAGCATATACCTTAGGTGCATAGTAAAAGCTAAAAAAACAAAAACAACCTATAATTTAGGATGGAGGGAGTATTTAGGTGAAGAGTTCCCATTCAGTGTGATCTCTACAATGTAACACAAGTTTTCATGGTGCAGGATAAGCCACGTGTATGGAAACGGTTAGATGTACTCCCTACATCCCATATTATAAGACGTTTTTACTTTTCTAGATACATACATTTTGTTATGCACTTAAATATACACTATGTTTAGATATATAATAAAAGCAATGTATTTCGAAAAGCCAAAACATGGTAACATGGTAACAGAGCTCTAATGATAGGATTCGATCCTCACTTGGCTGCTGCCGTCGCCGCCGGATGGCAAGCTTTCACCGGCGAGCAACTCCACTTTTTTCCCTCCCCTCTTTTTTTCCCGCCTCCACAGGTCGCACAACCCCATTCGCGGCCGCCGCATACGCTGGCCATGCAAGCCCTGAACGGTAGCCACATCTACACTCTGGGCCGTTGGTAGCTCCACAAAAAGAGAGAAGAGAGACAAGACGGTTGTGCCTTAGTGCCATTCATGTTCCTTGATGCCCGATTATTTTCAGTGACACCAATTAAGGAGAGTTTGTTTTTCACACGGAGATCCATATGGGTGGGCAGCAACTATGGGCTTATCTCACTGGTGAGGCGAAAATGTCTGCTATGTCCGATTCTCTACACACCACCCACGTATCCCCCCAATGTTGAGGATGCCATCAAGACTATCCGATTGGAGGTGGATTATGATGGAGGCCTATCAATCTGATCTTGCTGTCTATGACACTTGGCTGTGTGAGAAAGCCTGTGCTAAGGCCATCTTGCTTGCGAGCATTGCGATTGATCTCTCAATGTCTCTCAAGGGTCTTGCCTCCACGTATCTGCTTCGTGGTAGTTATGAGGTCCGTAACGAGGCTATGTATCTTATATAGAGTTGCTTCGTCAGCTAGACTTCTAGCTTAACCGTGGAGGGACTTCCATCGTCAGATTGCCTGGACAGCTTGGGAGCTGAGTTCTATGGTGCCAACACTTGCATGTTGTGATTGTCACCGGAGTCTGTTGTGACTGTCACCGGAGTCAAAGAGACTCTCCGTCTTCATGAGTTCCTCTCTCGGCTTTGTCCTGAGTTCAAGACTGTTTAGTTGCCGAGGCAATGCCTGAGCTATAGGCCGAGGAGATGTGTCTTTGCACTGGTGGTGTGAGTCAGGCTCAGCAACAGGACAGTAGCCCTACATGCTAGCTGCTACGACCTCACAAGTGTCTTTGTTGCTTGCCTCCCTCGCTGCCTCAGCCCTAGCTGGTGGCGGACTTCTTCTATTCTTTGTGGCCATTGTGGCCAGCAAGGCCATGAGGAGCCGACTTTTCACAAGAACATGGCTGCAAGGGACACAACCGATGTTCCTCTCTAAGCTTGAGTGGTTGTTCTACTCCTCAAACCTCTCAATCGGTGCCTACTACCGAGCAAAAGGTCCTCCTTGTTTTGTCGCCTTACTACCTTGATTGCCAGTATGGATTGTTGCTGCTCGAGGAAAGAAAAAAAAAGGAGAGGGAGAGAAGAGTGTGGGTGAAAGAGGTAGACAAAATCTCAAACGTACATTTTGGTCCAATGGTTAAAGGACAAGGCCTTGGGGATGAGATATTGGGAGACTGCAAAAGCATCCCCCCAATAATACTGGATATTGTATTGCACTAGCCCCATTACCACTTTATTGGAGAATCATATGGGAGGACTGCTAGAGATGCTCTTAGGGCGTGTTTGGTTTGCGTGGGCCAGGCATGCTTTCCGGGGTGAGAAGCAAACAGCCCCTTTTAGTCACTAGTATAGGGTGGTATCTGCACTTTGTACATGATTATATCCAGCCCTTTGACATAGCAATAGATCTAAGTTGCATTTCTAACAGAAACTACTTACCAGACCAAGAGCCTCTGCAGCTGTTTTTAAGTTACCAGCAGTACAAGCGCTCCTGTATAGATATAGAAGGTGAACCCTCTCGGCAACATGCAAATTCTTTTCTAGTCCAGCAGCCACCATTTCCATCTCTGCCTGTACGAAACAATAAAATGCGATTATGCTTGTAAGGATAACAATGCAGTAACAAAACCGAACAGTGCATACAGGATGTTGGATTTCTTCAGACAAATAAATAATCATCTTGCATACAAGTGACAAATATATGCTCTCAGCTATGTACCAGGGAAACTATTTAACAGAGGCATGACAAAAATATCAATCAAACTGGCACAAAAAATCCAAGCTTTATATGAGGCATCATCTGCTGCTTCAGGCCTCCAGGTCTAAACATGCTATGTCCTAGCTCAGGCGCACAGGACATAAGCAACTTACTTGGACTTGCTTCCTAGTTTTAATAAGCCTTTAACTAACAAAGAATTAATATTGTCTAGTTATACTCCTACACAGGTCCAGATGCACAATTTTGAACCCACACAGTTCAACCAGCACATCAAGACACAGAGTACACAAAGGGGTGAAAATAGAATGAATGCAGAACAAATGTAATGCCAAAACACAAGCTTTCAAGCGTAAAACGAAACGACATACAGAATTGTCCTCTGGAGGAAATATGTAATGAATTCTACAAATCTTCACAAGTTCATCCAGTGCTTCTGGCCGTTTTCCTTGAATCTCTAGAGCCTAGGGACGAAAAAAACATGGAATCAACATTGTAAGAACATGGAATCCCTGCAGCTATGTATAGGTAAATCCATACCCAGCATTGCAAGAAGCATGTCCGTGTACGAGTAGCAATTGATGCACATACAAGAGTGGCAACACGAAACTTGTCTAATCCAATATTGCTAGCAAGACCGGCAAACTCCCTTGGATCCTCACCATTAAGTTTTACTGCACCAATGTCTTTTGCTGCTCTTTATTAAGCTCAAAATATCAACGAGTCCAGATCAAGCATGGTGAATGGCAATGATAAAATAAGAACAGTATGTACAAAGAAATACGTAAAATAAAAAAAAACTGTCTGGCAGCAGAAATTTACAAATAGCTGATGAACGGAGTAACTGAAGCCAAAACAAATTCTTTGAACAAAAGCAATAAACACCTGCTGCATGCAATCATCTAAAACAAAGTTCACTGCTGCTCTGTAGAAAGAATCACGAGCATTTTCAGTATCAAAGCAGACCTTTACCCTCGATATCTTGCATAATTGCCTAAGCTGCATATCAAAGCATGATTACACGATGCCGACAAGCACATGGAACAAATTGCAGCATCATCATCATCATCATCATCATCAACAACAACAACAACAACAACAACAACAACAACAACAACAACAACAACAACAACAACAACAACAACAACAACAAAGCCTTTAAGTCCCAAACAAATTGAGGCATGCTAGAGTTGAAACCCAACAGAAGCAATTAAGGTTCAGGCACGTGAATAGCTGTTTTCCAAGCACTCCTATCTAAGGCTAAGTCTTTGGGTATATTCCATCATTTCAAGTCTCCTTTTATTGCCTCTACCTAAGTCAACTTCGGTCTTCCTCTGCCTCTCTTCATGTTACTATCCTGGCTTAGGATTCCACTACGCACCGGTGCCTCTGGAGGTCTCCGTTGGACATGTCTAAACCATCTTAACCGAGTTGGACAAGCTTTTCTTCAATTGGTGCTACCCCTAATCTATCACGTATATCATTGTTCCGAACTCGATCTCATCTTGTATAACCGTAAATCCAACGTAACATACGCATTTCCGCGATACTTATCTGTTGAACATGTTGTCTTTTCGTAGGCCAACATTCTGCACCATACAACATAGCAGGTCTAATCGCCGTCCTATAAAACTTATCTTTTAGCTTCTGTGGTACACTTTTATTATATATAACACCAGATGTTTGGCGCCACTTCATCCACCCTGCTTTGATTCTATGGCTAACATCTTCATCAATATCCCCGTCTCACTGTAGCATTGACCATAAATATCGAAAGGTATTCTTTCTAAGCACTACTTGATCTTCCAAACTAATATCTTTCTCCTCCCGAGTAGTAGTGCCGAAGTCACATCTCATATACTTAGTTTTAGTTCTACTGAGTCTAAAACCTTTGGACTCCAAAGTCTCCCGCCATAACTCCAGTTTCTGATTCATTCCTATCCGACTTTCATCAACTAGCACTACATCGTCCACGAAAAGCATACACCAAGGGATGTCCCCTTGTATGTCCCTTGTGACCTCATCCATTACTAAGGCAAACAGATAAGGGTTCAAAGCTGACCTTTGATGTAGTCCTATCCTATTCGGGAAGTCATCCGTGTCTCCATCACTTGTTCGAACACTAGTCACAACATTGTTGTACACGTCCTTAATAAGCCCGACGTACTTCGTTAGTACTTTATGTTTGTCCAAAGCCCACCACATAACATTCCTTGGTATTTTATCATAAGTCTTCTCCAAGCCAATATAAACCATGTGTAGGTCCTTCTTCTCTCTATACCGCTCCATAACTTGTCTTATTAAGAAAATTGCTTCCATGGTTCACCTTCCGGGCATGAAACCAAATTGGTTCATAGAGACCCGCGTTATTGCTCTCAAGCGATGCTCGATAACTCTCTCCCATAGCTTTATAGTATGGCTCATCAACTTAATTCCCCGGTTATTAGTACAACTTTGAAGATACCCTTTATTCTTGTAGATCGGTACCAATATACTTCTCCTCCACTCGTCAGGCATCTTGTTCGATCGAAAAATATGGTTAAACAGCTTGGTTAGCCATACTATAGCTATGCCCCCAAGGCATCTCCACACCTCGATTGGGATACCATCCGGTCTCATCGCCTTACATTCTTTCATCCTTTTCAACGTCTTTCTGACCTCAGATTCTTGGATTCTCCGTACAAAACGCCAGCATCAATCCAAAATAAATTCAGGTATACCAAAGATTGTGAAACTTATACGTTTAATTTATTTACCCAAATAAATCATACGTCTGCTCAGAACTATGGCTAAGCATAACATTACCATCAGCAATTGTTAGGTTCATTGTGTAATAAAAGGAACAAACAACTTCTTCTAAAGCTTGTATGGTCATATAAGGGGGGACAAAGTAACTTCATTTAGGTTCGCAGTTTAATGCTACTTGCTTGGTAGCTTCTTCCCTCATAAGTGTTTCGCCTCAACGTCCAGATGGAGATTGGAGAAAGATGAAACTGACACCACCATGATAATGACACACCACGGACAGGCGGGCAAGAAGCTCACCAAAACTCAGAACACATTTCTCCCGAGTCCCAATCAGTTTGCAGCTCTGCGTCCACTCACCTTTACCAACTGCCGTGGGCATTAAGAGATCGACCATGACCTTTGCCCTTCATTATCAATCACAGACAGGCAGGCAAGCGGCTTCATCAACTATCTCATTCCCATCATATCCGGTTCTCCTTCACCATGGAAAGGTTTTCACCTGTTGGCTGACAGCCACAGCACCACCTGATTGGATGGTCTCATGGTCATCACTCATCAAACTTCGTTGTGGCTCTAACCTCCCAAGACAACACCGATGGTCTCCATTGCCTGCACACCAATCATGTCTTCTCATCATTTTTTCCTCAGAATGGTTCCTCACCACTTTTTATCACATTCACATCAGTGCCATGAAATTAACAACCTCCTCTGCCAAAGCGTCCTCACAGCCACTGTTGAGAAGAATTATTCCTCACCTGTTTTGATCACATTCACATCAATGTCGTGAAATACACGGCCTCCTCTTCAAGACGTCCTCGCAACCACTGTTGAGAAGAGCATCAGAGATATGCCAAGCCATCGACAAGCGTATATGATGGTCTGCAGTTTCAAGGTCATATTGGGCTACTTCAGAAGATCAGACATTCAGAGGTTTCCTGCCATTACCTTCTATGTATTGATAAATTTTCTGACTTTAGAACTGCCACATCAGCAGGTCTTACTTTGCAGGTACTTTCTTATTTCTGATACATTCATTTACTAACTGCTGACTTAGTTTACCTTCTCAAGCACAACTACGCTTTAATACTTATCTACTACATTCGAAATATGTATACATGTACTTATTTCCCAGTTTGATGGTAGGTAACGAAGTTCCTCGCTGCTTAATATCATTGAAAATATGATTCGAAAGATATGGTTAAGGATTTGACACTACGATCAAGCAACAAAACTGATTGAGTCTCCAGGTCTTCTTTTTTGCTTTTCCTCTACTTCAATGTCATCCTCACAACTATACAAATATAAATTCAGATATCATACAGGGTGCAGGTGGCGAAACGAGCGCGTCCCCCTGCGGTCGAGGCTGCAGCCGACCCTATGGCCGGAGAAGATCACACTACCGAGCAGTGTATGACACCCCCATACAACCGTACCTCTGAGCAACTCGATGAACATTCTATTGAAGAGACTGTTACTTTTTCCTAGAGACCAGCGGAAGAAGTGCTACCCATGGAACTGAGTTCTCATGATGAGGCGCCTGTCCAGCAATCAGGTGAAGCAGGCATTCTCGTCTACTCAAGGCGTCCAAGAAAGAAGCATACCGAGACAGTTGTAGAATTGGGGCCTACGGAGGATTTCATCCACCGGATCTCCAGGCCTTTGCCAACTCTCTCCACCCCAGCTATTCCGAAGCATCGTTGCCAACCCACTGTTTCAACTCTCCCTCCAAGGCGAAGTAGGCGGATAGCCAAGCTGCCGCCAGAAACCAACCCACAAGCAGCCGGGACAGTACGTCGACAACTAGGCTTTGCGGAGAACCATAGCTGTCACTCAGAAGCCTCCAAAGAAAAATGCGCTCGCTTCTTCGACAAACCTCTCTCAAAGAGCCATGTGACTGCCCTTGCTAAGCTCCTGGGCAAAGATGTGCCGCCGGATGTGCTCGGCGTCCCCATGGAAGACGCTATGGCTGTGTAATTCTTTGAATCTGTGGTCGCATTTCTTTTCCAATGGATTCCCCAAATTTTTTGGTGTGGAATGTTCGAGGTCTTAATAAACGGGCTCGACGAGACAATGTTCGCAAGGTCGTTGATTCTTGTCGCCCAGCAGTTGTATGCTTGCAGGAATCTAAGCTTGCCCACATATCTCTCTAGGATGTCATGTCCATTCTTGGTCGAGACTTTTAAAAGTTTGTTTTCCTCCCTGCACAAGGAACTCGTGGTGGCATCCTTATTGCGTGGCGCGATGGAGTGTTTGAGGTTGATGTATGGCACGTACAGCGGCATTCGGTGTCAGTCAAATTTAAGTCCGGCGATGAGCATGTTTGGTGGTTCACCAGGGTTTATGGACCACATCAAGATGCTGAGAAGATTGCTTTCCTAGATGAAATCAGGGAAGTGCGGGCTAACTGTGGAGGGCCATGGATGATGGCCGGTGATTTTAACATGATTTACTCGGCCGAGGATAAAAACAATGAAAATTTAAACAGAGCGATGATGGGTCGATTTCGCCGGCTAGTGAATGATCTAGAGCTGAAGGAAATTCCACTGATGGGCAGACGCTATACCTGGTCCAACGAAAGAGATGCCCCTACCCTGGTTAAATTGGACCGTGTCCTTTGCACGGCAGACTGGGAAGCATTGTATCCAGAGTGCATTTTGCAGAGTCAAGCTACCGAGATATCTGATCACTGCCCTCTCTTACTCGGTCTCGAGGAAGGAATTCAAGGCAAAAAGTGATTTCACTTTGAGAGTTTCTGGACCAAGCTGAGGGCTTCCACGAAGCTGTAGAGCAATCTTGGTCCACGCCGGTTACAACCAGCTGTCCTCTTGACCATATCTCAATTAAGCTCAAAAGGCTAGCGCGTGCTCTTCAATCTTGGAGTCAGAAAAAAGTTGGTAATATCTGTGCACAGCTTGGAACAGCCCGTGAAATCTTACATCGACTAGAAATCGCAAGAGACAACTGGTTATTGACAAGAGAAGAGGATTGGTTGCAGTGTGAATCCAAGCGACACTGTCTTGTCTTGGCATCACTTGAGCATAAATCTGAGAAGATGAATAATCACTCCATCAGTGGAGAGGTATATATAGACACACATATGGGCCAATAGTAGATGGGCCTTCACTTAACATCCCCTTCAAACTCAAGGTGGAAGTGGAGGATCTAAAGCATTGAGTTTGAAAAAAAGCAGTTCAGAAGTTGCCACAAACCAAAAGAGCAGAGCTCTGGCCAGCGCTGGTGCTTGTGCTGTGTGTGTGCGCTTGAGCTCAACCCCTTCTTCTACCTCTAGCCATAGTGAGTGTGTGTGTGTGCTGGTAAGCAAGTTGCTTACCTGTGCAGGGAGGCGAGGGACCAACAGGTCGGAGTAGGGAGTATAATTGTACGGGATAGTTTTTTTTCTCTTAATACAATGATACGCAACTCTCCTGAGTATTCGAGAAAAAAAGATATCATACAGAACGACTATTCCATAATGCTATTTTATTTTTGGTGTTTTAACCATTGTGGCTACATTCTACAACTGCAAGGTTCCAATTTCACACCAGACAACAAAGGCGGTGTTCGGTCGAACTGGATTATTTACTGTTCATACTGGAAAACACTGTTCATGCTGGAATGTTGTAAAGAAAAATACTGCTCCGGCTAGAAAACAAAACAGAACAAGCCAGCTGACCAACCAGCCGAACACTACCAAATTATAAGCAAATGAAAGGCACCGATGAGCTCACAGCAATTGCTGCATGGAAGACTCTAATAAAAATAGTATATTCCCTTCCATGACTTCACTATTTCTCACTAAATCCTCCTGAAGTCCCACAGCAACGCGCGGTGTATCGTCTAATCATTAAAATAATTAAATAATATATTTTCTTCCATCATTTTACTATTTCTCACTACATTATAAAAATATATATTTCCTTTCAAAATTTTACTATTTCTCACAACATCAAATCTCTAAAATCCCACAGCAATGCGCAGGGTATCATCTATCTAGTTACTAAATAGAGAAAGCAAATAGCTATGCTATCAGCAAACTGCATGCTCAAGACGAGCATCGAGCCATCGATGCCGCCAATTGTCTATCCGCAATGACGCTATTGGGCATGCTGATCACCACATGGTGACCCTCTTCCACGAGTTCGACAATGTTACTACCGGCATCCAATATGCCAGGCGCTGGCGTGGCTAAGTGGTGCCCAGATCAATAGATGGCGCCTAGATTAGATGAGCTAATAGCCTAGTTATCCTTATGCTTTATTATTTGTTATTTTCCCCAATAGGATATTTATTTCTTAAAATAGGATTGCTTAGAGGGGATATATATATATATATATATATATATATATATATATATATATATATCTTGTAAACATTATTGTGGAAATTAAGCAAAGCAACAATATTGGTTGCACGGCTTCCCTGAAGCCCTAGCCGCCACCCCTCTCTGTTGCCGGCGCTGTGGATCACCATGGCGCCAACTCGCTGCCGCCGCTTCCTAGGACCTCGCCCTCCTCTCTTCCATCCCTACAATCTACGCAGCAACTCCGATAGGACTCCTAGTCCTATCAATCTGGTATCAGAGATGTCGGGTCCTCCTCCCACCACCACCACCCTGCCACCGCCTGCCGCCACCTCTGCACCGCCAGCCACCATGTCTGCGCCACCCATCTCCTCGGCGTCGACTACACCTTCCTCGTCGACTCCTGACCCCCTAGTCAAGGCGGTCGCCGATCTTGCTCGCTCCATCGCTGACATCTACTCCCTCCTTGCTAGTGTGGAGACACAGAGGCAGCCGCCCCCATCAGCCACAGCCTTCCTACCGCCGGTTTTCCCTTATGGGATGCCGGGGTACGGCACGATAGCACTGCAGTTCCAGGGCATGCAGGCAACCGTGCCGGCTTCATCCAGGCGACAGCCCCGGTTCCGCTCCATCAGATGCGGTGGCCGTCGACCCCCTCGCCGATCCCGTCCTATGTCATGGCGCCAACAACCAGGCTAGTGTTCACCACGGCGCCGCCCTTCACTGCCGCAACGATCACGTCAGCAGCCACCACCAGCGCCACGCCCCGGCTCGGTGGGCCGAGCCACCAGTACCAACACACTAATGGCACCTTCTACGGGGGCTCGGACAAGACCCTTCTCTATGGTGGCAGTTCCCCGTACCTGTTTGGTGCCGGCCCGATCGGCGCGTCGCCATACCTAGGTGGAGTTCCAAAGCAGGCCATCCACGTAGCCGGCCCGGGCATGGCTCGTCCGCGCTTCTACAAGCTTGAGTTCACGACATATGACGACACCGAGGATCCCCTAAACTGGCTCAACTATTGTGGGCAGTTCTTCCATGGACAGTGCACCCTGGCTTCGAATCGTGTCTAGCTCACGTCTTATCAATTGACCGGCGCGGCCTAGACCTGGTACTATGCCCTAGAACAAGATGAAGGCATGCCCACCTGGGATCGCTTCAAGGAGCTCTGCAACCTCCGTTTTGGGCCGGTGGTTCGTGGCACCCGCCTGTCCGAGTTTGCCCGACTGTCGTTCCTGTCGACAGTCCAGGACAACTCTGACTGCTTCAATGCGGTGTTGTGCCATGCCCGCAACCTGTCCGCCCCCGAGAAGGTGGAACTCTTTGTGGGAGGCTTACCAGAGCACATAAAGGTTGACATGGAGCTGCGCAAGCCTCAAGATCTCTAGACGGCCATGCATCTGGCGTGGGCCTTTGAGCGCCGCGCCACGGCCACGACGCCGGCCCCTGCCTAGTGTGGGGCATGACTGCCACAGCGCCTAGGCCTACCAGCGCCTCCCCGGTCAGCTATAGCAGTACCAGCAGGCACGGGCGCCCCCCTGGTGTTGCCCGCTCCCCCACCAGTGGCCGGCCAATCAGCTCCGGCTCGTCCCTTCCATCGGAAGACGCCAGCTGAATAGCTAGAGCGCCGTCACTAGGGGCTCTGTTACAACTATGACGAGCCCTATGTCCACGGCCATCAGTGCCAACGTCTCTTCCACTTGGAGTCGGCCGATTTCCTTGATACGACGTCCCAGCTGAGGTGGCCGCCGTGACTGCTTTCCAGGAGGAGGCTACTACCCCTGAGGCTACGCAAGATGCAGCAGCCCAGCCGACAATCTACCTCTCTGCCATCAGCCGGCATTCAGACGGAGAACGCCATGCACCTACATGTCTTCGTCCACGGCCACCGCCTTGTGGCGCTTCTCGACTCCGGCTCCACGCATAACTTCATCGACGCCGACCACATGCGCTGCCTATGCCTGTCCACAGTGCCACATCCCACCATGAGGGTCTTGGTGGCCAACGAGGATGGAGTGCCTTGTGAAGGGGTCGCCCGTGATGTGGCGCTGGCCATCGGCATAGAAGAGTTCTCCATCAGTTGTTTCGGCATCAACCTCGACGGTTTTGATGTCATCCTAGGCGTCGACTTCCTCCGCACGCTCGGCCCTATCCCCTGGGACTTCAAGGACTTGTGCATGGCCTTCACGCGGGTCTCTTGGCGCATCTTGTGGAAGGGCCTCGGCTCCCCCCGTGATGACATTCGAGAGCCGACGGCCTGTGCGGTGGCTGTAGCACTTGACCGGCCCTTGCTAGACCCTCCGCCAGTTCGATGACATCTTCACGGAGCCGTACGGTCTGCCTCCAATGTGCCCCTACGACCACTGTATCCACCTGCTGCCCGGCATCGCACCCATCGCCGTTCGGCCATACCGCTACCCATAGCTCTAGAAGGATGAGTTGGAGCGGCAGTGTGATGCCATGCTCACTTAGGGCATCATTCGGCCTAGCACATCAGCGTTCTCCGCACCTATCCTCTTGGAGTGGAAGGCCGATAATACTTGGCGCTTTTGCATGGACTACCGCGCGCTCAACGACAAGACGTCCAAGGACAAGTTCCCCATCCTAGTGGTCGATGAGCTCCTCGATGAGCTCCATGGCGCCCGCTTCTTCACCAAGCTCGACCTCTGCTCGGGCCATCACTAGGTGCGCATGTACCCATAGGACATAAAAAAGATGACATTTCACACACATCACGGCCACTTTGAGTTCCTGGTGATGCCTTTTGGCCTCACCAATGCATCGGCCACCTTTCAGGTCCTGATGAACGACGTCCTTCGGCCATTCTTGCGTAGGTTCATCCTTGTGTTTTCGATGACATACTGATCTACAGCTCGTCATGGGACGAACATTTTGCAGCACATCCACCTCGTCCTCGACGCGCTCTGGGCGCACCGCCTCCACCTCAAGCGCTCAAAGTGCTCCTTCGGGGTGCCTTCGGTCGCTTAGCTTGGCCACGTCATCTCCGCCGATGGCGTTACCATGGACAGCGACAAGGTGGACGCCGTCGCATCATGGCCTACACCGTGCTCGGCGCGCGGCCTACGTGGCTTCCTCGGCCTCATGGGATACTACCGCAAGTTCATCCGTGACTTCAGCACGATCGCAGCGCCTCTCACCTGGCACTTGCATAAAGATGCCTTCTCCAAGTCTGAGGAGGCTAAGGTGGCTTTTCAGGCGCTCAAAAGCGCCTTGTCGATAGGGCCGACCCTCCAAATGCCCGTCTTCGACAAGCTATTTACTGTCGACTGCGACGCCTCTGGCATCGGTTTTGGGGCTGTTCTCCATCAAGATGGGGGACCGCTCGCTTTCTACAGCCACCCATTCGCAGCTCGTCACCTGAAGCTCGCGGCCTACGAGCAGGAATTGATCGGTCTTGTGCAGGTTGTGCATCAT